TGACAATTAGGGTTAAGGAGAATCCAAAAATCTTCTACAAATACATTGAGGTCAATAGGGCAACTAGGGAGAGAACAGGGCCCCTTAAAGATCAGCAAGGCCACCTATTTCTCGAACTGCAAAAGATGTGGGAGATACTAAATGAGTATTTTGCATCAGCGTTTACTGTGGCAAAGGATATGGAAGACAGAGAACATGGGGAAATAAATAGTAGCATCTTGAAAAATGTTCATATTACAAAGGAGGAGGTGCTGAATGTCTTAAAACGCATAAAGGTGGATAAATCCCCGGGACCTGATCAGGTGTAATCTATAACTCTGTAGGAAGTGAGGGAAGAGATTGCTGGGCCCCTTGCTGAGATACTTGCATCATCGATAGCCACAGATGAGGTGCTGGAATGACTGGAAATTGGCTAATGTTGTGCCACTATTTAAGAAAGGTGGTAGGAAAAAGCCAGGGATTTACAGCCTGGTGAGCCTGATATCAGTGGTGGGCAGGTTGTTGGAGGAAATCCATAGGGACAGGATTTACACTATTTGGAAAAGGAAGGACTGATCAGAGATAATCAACATGGTTTTGTGCATGGTAATCGTATCTTACTAACTTGATTGAGTTTTTTTGAAGAAGTAATGAACAGGATTGATGAGGGCAGAACAATGGATGTGATCAATATGGACTTCAGTAAGTCGTTCGACAAGGTTACTCATGGTAGGCAAGGTTAGATCACATGGAATGCAGGGAGAACTAACTATTTAGGTACAGAACTGGCTCAAAGGTTGAAGACAAAGGGAGGTGGTGGTGGTGGTGGTGGTGGTGGAGGGTTGCTTTTCAGACGATGCTACAAGAATCAGTGCTGGGTCCACTGCTTTTTGTCATTTATATAAATGATTTGGATGTGAACATAGGAGGTATGGTTAGTAAGTTTGCAGATGACATTAAAACTGGAGGTGTAATGGAAAGCAAAGAAGATTACAACAAAACAGTTCTGAGGAAGGGTCACTGGACCTGAAATGTTAACTCTGTTTCTTCCTTCACAAATGCTGCCAGGCCTGCTGAGCTTTTCCAGCAACTTTGTTTTTGTTCCTGATTTACAGCATCCGCAGTTCTTTCGGTTTTTTTTTAAGCAAAGAAGACAACCTCAGAGTACAATGGGATCTTGATCAGATGAAGTTTAATTTAGATAAATGTGAGGTGCTGCATTTTGAAAAGGGAAGTCTGGGCATGATTTATACACTTCATGGTAAGGTCCTGGGAAGTGTTGCTAAACAAAGAGATCTTGTACTGCAGGTTCTTATTTCCTTGAAAGTGGAGTCGCAGGTAGATAGGATAATGAAGAAGGCATTTGGTACACTTGCCTTTATTGGTCACTGCACTCAGTATAGGAGTTGGGAGGACATGTTGCGGTTGTACAGGACATAGTGGCTGAATCAATCGGAATACTGCGTATAATTCTGGTCTCCCTCCTGTAGGAGGGATGTTGTGAAACTAGAAAGGATTCAGAAAAGATTTACAAGGATGTCGCCAGGGTTGGGGGCTTGAGCTATAGGGAGAGGCTGAATAGGCTGGGGCTATTTCCCGGGAGCGTGGCAGGCTAAGGGACGACCTTATAGAGTTTTATAAAATCATGATGGGCACGGATAGGTTAAATAGACAAGGTCTTTACTCCAGGGTAGGGGATTCCAAAACTAGAGGGCATAGGTTTAAGGTGAGAGGGGAAAGATACAAAAGGTACCTAAGGGGCACCATTTTCACACAGAGGGTGGTGCGAATGGAAAGAGCTGTCAGAAGAAGTGGTGGAGACTGGTACAATTAAAACATTTAAAAGGCATTCAGTTATGTATATGAATAGAAAGGGTTTAGAGGGATATGGGCCAAATGCTGGCAACTGGGAATAGATTTATATAGGATATCGGCATGGACAAGTTGCACTGAAGCGTCTGTTTTGGTGCTGTATATCTCTATGATTCTATGTGCCTAGGTACAAAAATTATATGGTATAATAATGGAGAATTCTAATTATCCATACATAAACTTGGAAAACCTGTTGTGTAAAGGGATCTGAGGGGTAAAAGTTCCTACAATATGTTCAGGAAAAATTTCAACAGCAGTATGTTTCCATTCAAACAAAATAAAATGGATTTCTAGGCCTGATTCTTGAGAATGAAATGCTACATGGGCTACATGGGCTACTTGGGCAAGTAGCATCAGTAAAGAATTTAAGAGTCAAATGATCAGTGTATCAAGAACTATTCATGGATGAAGAACAGAGTACAATCTGCAGTAAATGTAATTAACAAATAATAAGAATGCATTTGGGATGAATAAACTGGAGTTAAAGATTGGCAAGAGAATCAGTAGTTGGACAATGTGCAAGAAAAGGTACTTCAGGAGTGTCAAGATTTGGCAAATAAAGCCAGAGTTCCTTGGATGACAAAAAGATGAAAATTAAAATGAAAAACCATAAGTGTGTTTACGGAATATATCAAAATAGTTCTAATGCTGAAATGCAAATCAGACTGAATACAGAAGGCACAGACGGTAGGTGAAAAAGTAAAGTGAAGCAAAGAGGGAGTATGAAAAAAGGGTGGCAGCCAATGTAAAAGGGGATCCCAAAGTCAATAAACAGTAGAAGGGTGGAAGAGGAGCAAAGTGATTAATAAGAAAGCAGGACTTCCACGTGGACGAACAGAGCATAGCTGAGGGACAAAATTCATACTTTCCATTTGTCTTCCATAAGAAAGATGATGCTACCTAGGCCATGGAGAAGGGGAAATAATTTAAACACTAGAGGGATTAAAGTTGACACAGAGGAGGAAATGGATAAGACTGAAAGAGATGCTGAGGGAAGTGAGAGTGGGTCCCAGAGGATTGAATAATTGCAAACATTACACACTTGTTTGAAACAATTTGTGCAGAGATAAGCTCAGAAACTATCAGCTTGTCAGTTTAACCTCAATTAAAAGCAAACTACTGCGGACACTGGAAATCTGAAATCAAAACAAAGTATTGCAAAAATGCAGTATGTCTGCCAACACAGAGTTACTATTTTGACTCTTTGGTTTTGGAAGTTTTTTTTAATTCTTTACAGAACATGGGCTTCATTGGTTGAGCCAGCATTTATTGACCATCTGTTGCTTTTGAAAGTGTGGTTCTAAGCTGCCTTCTTGAATCACCGTACTCGACTTGATGTAGGTAGACCCACAATGCTGCTGGGAAGGAGTTCCCCCAGGAATTTCATTCAACAACACTAAAGGAACGGTACAATGTTTCAAAATCAGGATGGCGAGTGGCTTGGAGGGGATCTTGCAGGTTATGGCATTTCCCCCATATCTGCTGCCCTTCTTCTTTTAGAGAGTGGTGGTCATGGGTCTGAAAAGTTACTGTCTAAGGAGCCTTAGTGAATTTTTGCAGTGCATCTTGTAGATGGTATATATTGCTGCTACAGATCAAATTTAATAATCACTTGGGAAAATGTGGCTAAGTTAAGAAATTCATGCTGGTTTTCTTTAAGGAAAAATCATGTCTACCAAATTTAAGAGTTTTTTGAAGAACTGGCAGAGAACTGATGAAGGCAACGCAAATGATGTGGTTAATGTAGCCACCTAAAAGGCGTTTGATACAGTGCCATAAAACAGACTTGTAAGGAATGTTATACACAGGGAGTTAAAAAGGGGCGGTAGCAACATGGTTACAGAATTGTTTGAGGGATTGGAAACAGTGTAATGGTTGATAGGTATTATTTAGGCTGGAGGAAGGTTGTCGTGAAACTAGTCAGGGGTCAGTGTTAGGAGTTTTTAGTTTCCTGAGCGATATTAATAACCCAGAACTCTCTGTACAGGGTGATTAATATGTTTGGACGATGCACAATCGTAAGGAGGATAGTGCAGAACTTCAAAAGGTCATAAAAAAAGTGAAGGAACGTGTGGACAGGTGTCCAACTAAGTTCAATGCAGAGAAAGGTGAAGTGATTCATATTGATAGGAAGGATATGAAGATAGAATTTAAATAATCTCTAAAGGCCGTGCAGAAACAGAGGGACCTTGGTGCATATGTGGGTGCCTTTGAAATGACAGGATAGGTAAAGCAAACAGTATCCAAGACTTTATTACTGGGGGTAGAGAGTACAAGAACAAAGAACTTTTGTTGTACTTGTTTAAAACACTTCTTCTTCACCTGGAGTATGATGCCGAGTTGTGTGAACCACCGTTTAGGAAGGACGTGAAGGTATCAAAGAGCGCAGAAAAGATTCACGAGAATGAAGTTCCTCAGACCTGGAACAGTTTTGAAAACAGATTGGAGAATTTGAGGCCTTTTACCCTTGGGAAAGAAGGCCAAGAAAGATTTTATAGAGATATTCTAAATTCAAGACTGGCAGCATATTTTCAACGCAAGAGGAGAGAAATTTAAAAGAAACATAGGCAATTTTCTTTTACACAGAGGGTGGTTCACATATGGAATGAACTTCCTGAGGAAGTAGTGGATATGGGCACAGTTACAGTGTTTAAAATACACTTGGATAAGTACACTTGGATAAATAGGAAAGGTTTGGAGGGATACGGGCCAGGAGCAAGTAGGTGGGACTTGTGTAGTTTGGGATTATGTTCGGCATGGACTGTTTGGACCAAAGGGTCTGTCTCCATGCTGTATGATTCTTTGAGTCTGTAAAAGAGTAGATAGTGAAGAACCTTTCCAAACTCATGACAGGTTCTAAAATAAAAGTGCAGGTTCAATTAAGGCATTCAAAAGGGAATCAGATGCTTAATGAGAGAAGGAAAATTGTACAGGCCTACACAAGCAAGGCAGCCAAATGGCATTAAGTGAGTTGCTCATTTGGAGAGCTGGCACAGACACGATGGGCCAAATTGCCTCTTTCTGCACTATAACGATTCTGCAAACTTTTGAACAAGTACGTTGAAAACATTGGCTGAATATGAAAGAAAATAATGAGTTACGTATGCCACCTATCAATAAATCACTAATGATGATTAGAAATTACTCACTCTCCCTCTGTTCTCGCTCCTTTAGAATTGCATCCAACCATTTCTGTTTTTCTTCAGCAGTTTTGGCCATTAAGACAAACCACTTATTTTTAGCTGTATTGTGAATCTTCCAACCATTTGTCACAGTATAACCATTGCTATGGTAATCAGCTGCAAACAGATAGACAGAGCTAGTTAGGGAACACAAGAATATAACCATGAAATGTAATTTTCCTCAACACAAGTAGACATTTCAAGCAGGGATTCGACTGCCAATGGCCAACTTTCTTGCGCTTGTGCAATGGGCAGTTAACTTTTTTGAAGAAGACACCATAAAGATTCATTCATTTCTGAGCAAAGAAATATTCAAAGGTGGTAAAATTAATAATGTAGTATTAAAAGTTACAATTTCTGCTATGAGTATTGGTTAAGAGTCAACAATGCCAGGGACATGAAGTTTATTTATTGGCAGAGCCATACCATCAAGTGCCAATCTCAAGCCCACATTTGCTCCACAAGAAGAGTTTACCAGTAGTGGCAGCAAATGATACACTTTCACCTCTCTCCCATCCCTAACCTACACTCTCAGACCAACAGAAACAATTTCTCCATGGTCAGAAACTAAGACAAATCGAAATCCCACTCCACGGTGGCTGATATGCTGCTGGAATAGCAAAATATAATCTTTTATCTCTTCAATTATAAGCAGCTTCCATGTAGCTTCTGGTTTAACGTGCTCTATCACCAAAAGCATTCTAAATTATCTTGCAACTTAACCAAGTAATTTTTAAACAGATAAGCTGAATTCAAGAAAGAAAGAAACAGCTAAGGAATGCTACCATAAATTCAACAGACTACCCAGTGTCAAAATAGTTATCAGTTCTTGAGCAAGATAAATCTTGAACCCCAAATGCAGTAAAATGACCCAGCATCCGATCAATTTTGAATGCGTACTTTCACTGTCAATGTTCAAATGACATTTTAGGATGAATATTCAAATGTCCAAATCGCAAAGGGAAAATGGACAATCCACAAAAAAAGGGCAGCTCAGGCAATAAATGTTTTTCATCTAAGTCTTAAGCTACTAAGCTCTGAATTTGTTGTTTGTCTTGCTCACAGCTATGAGCAAAGAAGAATTAAGCCTGAGGCGATAGATCTATCTCACATTTGTGAGAGAAACAGAAGATTTGAAATTATTTATATTGATATAGGAGATCATAACAGAATTATCAGAAAAACATCCTCCTCTGGACATGAATCTCAGAAATTCATTCCTGCTCAAATTTTTCAAGACCCTGGCAACTAATGAATCAATTGATATCTTATCCAAGATGCGATGAAACCATTTGCTCCCTTGACCACATTACTTCTCCAAATTTGCATCAGTTTAGCAGTTAATTTATCTCCAATAGCAAGCAATTGAGGCACAAAATTAATCTGCTTCATTAGCTACACAAGTTCCAAGAACTTAAATTCAGCAAAATAACTCCAAGTTAAACCTTGTAATTTGTTACATTTGATTATAGTTTCAATTGTTTGATCACCTTTCTACTATAATTAGGAATAGCTGAGATTTGACTTAGAAAAACAAACAAATCTTTAATCAGCTAACAGGTAATAATTAAAATGGATTAGAGAAACAATGCGCTTCCTCTTAAAGTAAAAAATGCAATACTAATGGTGAGCTCTACCATACTGAAGAAATGGCTTGAAATTAATTAATTATTTAAATGGTACTTGATTCATCTTCAATATTTGGGCTGAAACATTTAACTGAAGAAATGCTAGCTAGAAAAGCTAACATAGCACATAAAATTAATTATTCAGTCACAATGTCTACTTCTCCAGCTCCTAACTTGAAAATGGAAAAGAATATGAAGACCAGGTCTCCACATAACTCCCATACTGCCAGACTCTCACCCCCAATTCCCAGCTAAACAAATACTGAGAAGTGATACTATATTTTAAGCTGTTGTACCAATAGTTGTCTCAAGCCCTTGAAGGATGTGCATGTGTCAGCATCAATTAATGACAGAACTGAACAGAAATGAAACCTTCGAGAGTGAAATCGTCTGCCATTTAGGTTATTTCATAAAGATCTATATGGGGAAGATACCAAAGGACAAGAATCTAAGGAACTGTATTCCAACAAACAATCATCCCCACCTTCAATATGGGAACAATAGAGGCAAACATAAGCAGGTAAAGTACCTGTTCCATCTTCAACATTCTCCACTTCCATTACCTCGGTGTTGATTCTTCCACGGAAAATGTATTGGGCACCATTTATAGACTTGGTGCGCTTGGTTGACTTCTTACTAGCAACCCTAAAGTGAGGTGAAACACGCATTTCTATCAGAGCACATTTTTTCCTTAATCATCAGGCTTATAAATAAACCAAAGATCACCTTAACTCAAATGATGATAATAGCATGGACGTCCTCTCCAGAGAGTGAATTAAGGAGAGGTCTTGAAAGTGAGATACATATTTAACTTCGGAAGTGAAAATATTAAGGGACATGGAAAGAAGATGGACAAGACGGAACTGCCTTAGGAGTTTAAGTAGGCCAAATTTCCCACTTTCGTCCTTATGTTCCAAATTTTCTTCAACTTTAGAACAAATTGAGCAACTTAAATGAATACTTTTAAACTACGTAAAAGGAAAATTCGAAGTCCAAATTACTAGTAATATACTAGTTAGTAGTAACACAACACCTTGCTTAGTTTTGAACTGATGAGTCAACAATCCAACCCTTAGCTCCAATTAGTCAATCAAACTCAGCCGAAATATTTATACTAAATAATTTCTTACACAACAGCCTTTCCAGCAACTACACTTCTTCAAGAATTTAACAGAAGAAAGAAAATCTTCCCAAACACCCACTCCTAAATATGCTGTTCACATATTTTACTAAAGTCTGTTAGGAATTTTTCTGTCATACTTGTGTGTCTTAAAAATCCCATTCTAAAAGTAAAATGTTAGCATTTCCAATTCACATCTAGAGTAATTCAACAGTTATAATGTGATTGCAAGTTTTATACTTGACCTGTACCTAAATTAACATTTTAAAATCTTCTATAGAGCAAGTTCATCTCATTTATATTCAGTTTTACACCAATTCCTATGCATGTTAAGAAAGGTGTATTCATCAGGTTGCTGCAGGCAAAGTATTAATACGTTATAAAAAGGTATACAAAGCAACAATACAAAGTATTTGAAAGAGCAAAGTGAACCAAAGTTTATTCATACAAAGAAGGAACAGCTGATCTCAAACAGATTTAGAACAACTGCCACATCAGCACTGCAGAAGTGTAGGAAAGTCATTATTTCTCATTTCCAAATCCTTTCTGCAAAGGCTTGAAACCAGTTTCCTTCCTTAGGTATGATTCACTTCAATTTCATTAAGGAGAAAAGCACAAGACTGCTTTTCATAAATGAGTTTACCAGCTTTCAACACGTACTTCATGGTCACTGACGCCATAGTCAACCAGATTCATTTCTCCTTGAGATAAGCATTTCCAGATTGGAAGGCCATATAAAAATATATTCTGCTGAGAACAGGACAAGCTCACTCAGTCTGACAACCATAGTTCACCAAATATTGTACTTCCAAGAAGCTGGTGTATGCTCGAAGTTGTGATGCCCAGAATAAATGGTGGAGTTTGCAAGTATTTAACTCTAACCAAATTAGTTGAGGCTGAAAGTCAGTAACAGCAATTCTTTTTTCTGCCATTTAATTGATCCAAGTCATGACATACCTAGATTTCCTTTTGCAGTATACCAGCAAGTTATCAAACAAAAAGAACACTCGTTCCTGAATATTTCCAGCTGAGATCTTTAACAAAGGTCCTTGCTGAAGCAGCTCAGTGCATATATCTGTCAAATTTGAACCCTGGCAAAATAAAAATATTGAACAGGTTCAGTATTATGCACAGTTGTATGTTATTTCATTTTACAAACTCAAAGTAGTTAACAATGTAACATACAACAAAATAGCTGCAAGTTAAATAGTCTCTTTATTGAGTACATTTTTCTTTCTTGCATTAATACCCACTCAAAATATCTTTGTGCAGTACATGAGGAAGTACACAGCTGAATGTTCTCAAACACGCAACAGCTGAATGCAACTTGCCTGTGTATATTTAGAACATAGGGAAGAAAGTGACAAAGTTGAAGATTTGTTGAAAAAAGCCTCAATTTTCCTCAAATAAAACTTTTGATCAGTATGATTAACTGCACAATGAAATTTAGATTACTTTAAACATCCTGAAATATCTTTAATGTAAATGAGGATAAACAGAAAATCGAGACTACATTGCAGACCATAGATGTAAAACGGAATCAGGACCACAGCCCAAACTGCACACAGTCATTAGGTACGAAAGCCATTGGCATGAATCTATACTGTACACTACAATAAATAATTGGTCGTATTAGTCATAAATGTATGAAAACTTGAGCTATCAGTGGCATAACTTCAACAAAAAGTTCCTCTATCAGTGGATATCTATCCTCTATCTATAAAATACAACATTAGCCTATTACCTTTTTGGACCTTCTGTAAAGTCAAGTTCATCTAAACTTCTCTTCTCCTTATCCTAAAATCATACCAAGTTCCATTTACCCATGTTCACATAAGGCCATTTGGAAATTAGAAGCCAATTTTAAAATTCAGATCCTGTTTTTCAGATCCCTCCACAGTCTCACCCTTTATGTCTCCAACCTTCTGTAGGCTCACATGCTTCCAAGATCTCTGAATTCTCCAAGTCTGGCCTCTTCTGCAATCAAAATTATCATTGGGCCATCATGGGCAAACATGCCTTCAACTACTTTGTTTGGTACACATCTGCGATGCATGTTGATGGCTTTTATAAATGCAAGCAGGTTTTGTTGCCTTGACCAATTTCCACATTTCAAACCAATTTAAAATTCTTTTAAGACAGTTCTTGAAGTTTACCAAATAAAAACTGAAAAGACTGTGGATGCTGTAAATCAAAGACAAAAATAGAAATTGCTGGAAAAACTCAGCAGGTCTGGCAGTATCTGTGGAGAGAAATCAGAGTTAATGTTTCAGGTCGAGTGACCCTTCCTCAGAAGTTTACCACTTTGACCGAGCTTTTGGTCATTTATCTAATTTCTTAATAACTTGCTATCCTTACTCATTTGTTAATGCTTCTGCTAAGTACCTTGGAACATCTTATCATCTTAAAGACACTACATAAACTCAAGTTGTTGCACATGCAATTTAATCTTTGGTTGATGAAAACTAGAGTACCCTGATTTTCAGACTTTTTCTTTTTTTTAAGCTGTTCTATTGTTTCTCTTTAAAAACATGGACTTAACATGTCTTGATTTTTATTTAGAACAGTTGTTAAATTATTCAAGGTGGTAAAAGACGGGACGAGAGCATTCAGTCCATCACCTCAAACTATGCGACAATGCAACATGGCATTTTTAGGGCATGAGGGTGGTAAATAAAAATCTATGTTTATGGACGTGGGAACAAACCTAAAAAAATCACATTCTCATACTAACACAATAGAATAAAGCACTAAACAAGTCTGGTTTGCCTCAAAATGTTCAGCAGAACATTTTGCTGCCCAGCATTCAATCAAGACCACAGAAAAGGCACTTCCTTCAATCAGAAAATTACATAATCTTTGCAGCTGCTGCTAATGCAACATGCTCGCTGCAACAGCAATAGTCTTCACTTCTGTAACAAAAGAGACATTCACAGCAGAATTAAGATTGCATTTGGATTGAATCACATATAGAAATGACAAGTGTTATGTCACAGCTTTTAAAATAAAAATTAAGATTAATAAGACTTATTTGGTCATCGTGCAATGCTGTATCTAGGATGGACGGTGTTAATGCCAGGGTCCATAGTAATACACACCTAGAACAAAGTCCTTTCGCCCAACAATGTTTTAATTGGCAAGAGAGGTATATAAATATATCCAATACAAGTTTTTACATTAAGGTAATATGAAGTCTGGTATTTTTTCAGTGATACAGCAGGAGCTGAATTTACAAGATTTCCACCAGAAAGTGTCATGATACAAAGAAACTTGTGTCAACTTAGTTTAGAATTTTAAATGGATGCACTGTGAAGAATCATATCTAATGGGGGATAAAGTAGTCAACTGCACCAGGAAATTGCTTTCTTTTAATAGGTTTAGAATTGCAAATATACTTCTTCCATTAAATTAGAAGAATGGCTTCAAAAATTTCAAACAAAATAGGTAATAAATGCTTGTCATTTCACCAGTCTTTATAATCATACCTCCCATCCTTCAATCGATGACTGCAAATGTTCCAAAGCTTCCAGTTTCTCCATTTGCCTCTTGGTTTCATTAATATTAGTGCACACGGCTTTCATTGCTTGCAAGGCTTTTTCCACTGCTGAGTTATCACTGTGCTTTTTGGGTGTCCGTTTTAGCAACTCCTGCAAGAAGTGGAGAACTGAAACTCAAACTTCACTGTCGCCTCAGAAACCAAAGTACTTGAAACATAGTACTTAAAACTGGATTCAACTGTCAATACTACCTGTCCAATAAAAACGATAAATACCTTCTAAATACTTCACAAATTCTATGGCATAGATCAAGGAGTTTCTTTCTTAAAAGAAATGTCTTTAGAAGTAAATGCTTCTCTCCATTCAATTCAACGATCCATTCCCTCGGGCTTACATGAGCAAATGTGCAATATGAAATCTCAATTTAATATGTTAAAAGTTTTATTTCAAGAGTACACAGTCACTGATGAGATGAGGGAGAGAACAAACCAGAAATGACAGTTTAATACATTTCCAAGATCTAGTTGGTGATCTTGTACCGGAAGGCAACTGGTTGAAGGACAAGTCAACTCCAGGTCTGGACTTCACCTGTTTTAGATACTTTCCCACTTGGTTGCCCTTTTCTGCATTACTCAATAGTCTGTTATAGTTGGTACAGTGGCCACAGCTACACGTAATAATCTTCATGTAGCCTTAGATTTACCCATTTCCCGTTACGACCTCATAGATGTTTTGCAAACTTAATGTTGCTTTATTTTCCCCACAGCCCCAGCTTCAAATTATTAATGCCTCTAACACTACTTCACCCATGGATTTATCTGCTAAAAGTGGATTTTTCCTTCAGTTAGAAAATATTGACGTATACACAATAATGTCCACACTACATTACAAAACAAGTGTTCTAAGAAGGACTAACAATGTAACAATGTTTCTCTCTGCTAGTTGGTCAGTGAAGCATCTCCAGGTTTCATAAAATATTTGCAGGAGAGGTTTCAGGCACAAAATTTTATCTTCAAGTACTCATCAGTAGCCAAAAAGGAAAGAAAATCTATTGCTTCCAAAATACTAACAGAGTTTGTGAATGTACTGCACTTATGTCTATGGTCAACTGGCCAAGCATACATCCCTAATTTGAGAGGGCCTGACAAAGTCACGACTTCAGCCAAAACACTGGGGTGAAGGAGGAAAGGAAATGGAAGAGAAGGATGGGCAGGGAAGCTTGTTTGTGAAAATTTCAGGGAATCTAAACATTGGAAGCTTTTACATAATCATATTTTGGACACAAAACATGTAAACGATAGAGTATATTTTATCAGATTCTGTAATGCATGACGCTTTCTGCAGCCTAGTTTCAAAAGAACACTTTCAAAAATAATGCCCAGCTGAAGTACGGGTCAATATCACATGAAGCTCAGGCCATTCATTACAAACTGGTAACAACAACACTTGGAACAGACTGGAACAGTGGATTGCATGCAAGTCTGACAGAGGGCTGGGAGCACAGCTGCTTCTAAGCAGCAACAGGTTATCCCAAAAGAACTTGCATGATTCGACAACCCTGCTGAGATTGCTCTGGAGATCACCACAGGCATTAATAACACAAGTGAAAGAGAAAGTAAATTTAAAATGGCGCTCCCAAATTAAAAACATTGCCCAATACATTTTTCAGGTTATGACATCCAGGGATTAACTTGCTCTCGGATCGTGACGGCTAAATGGGTGGATTAACAACAGCGTTGGCACATGGAAGTTTCTCGTGAGCTGCATCAAAGACAATAGTAAGAAAATAATACAATGTAAGGAATCAAATTTACAATGTTTAGGGTGGGGACAACTCAAGGTTTGATTTCAATGGGCTAATTAAGAGCAGGGAGAGTTGTAACAGTTCTGCCTCTCCTCAGAAATGACCACAAGTTGCAAACTGTTTTGATGCAGGAACATTCTCTGATCTGTCAAAAAGTTAGGTAATCTATCATTCTGTAGGGCCAGTCAAAGAATCCTGATGAATGGTCACTGGACCCAAAACATTGACTCTGCTTTCTCTCCACAGATACCGCCAGATATGCTAATGTTCTCCAGAAATTTCTGTTTAAGAATTGCCAAAAGAACTTGGTATTAAAGCATTTCAAGATCTGTAGACTTGCAAATTGTTTCAGTGATGAAATACATAAGTGCTGGCCCTGCACTGCCTTGTTTTGGGAAATGCAGTTGGAAAATAAATAAAAAGTGACTGCCACGTAATAATTGGTGACTCCATATCATGAAATCCGGCATAAGTACAATGTGGATTACCAAATTCAACAGCAAAATAAGAACTCCAGAAGTTATTTTGTCTGTACAATGCCACTAATAATAACAGTCTAAAGATGTAAAATGCACCAAGTCTACAAACCTGCAGCACCAACAAATCCTCCCTTTTTGCAATTTTTTTTGCATACATTGCATCTAGAAATTTCTGACTGTACACAATGGAATGTATAAATACTTGTAAAATAAAACATTCAGTTTAACATATTGGACCTCAATTGCTGATGCACCGGAATATTTTGGTCTAAGTGGCCAGCAAATGCAAACTCCTTCCGATTAATACAAATCATCAGTCTCTTCTGCTTACTTCAAAAATCTTCTGTGCACATTAGACTTCAGTTCCCTAAACAATGTTGTTATGTGTAACAAAAACAGAGTCAAACCTCAAATATTTGCACTTAAATATGTTGTTCTGCTTCTGCTCAATGAGAAAGTTTAAGCCTTAAAAAGGAACAACGATTTATGTTCTTGTTTTTCAATTGACCATCATCTGAGAATCATTTGTGTTATGCTGACCCTATTTCAGGTGCATTCTACGCAAAACACAGTGAAGCCTATATTCCCAAATGAAATAGTTTTTAAGTTTGACCAACGAAAGAAGGCAGGTTAAAAAATAAGTAGCTCAGGATCCATCAAGGTACCCCATAGTACATTTAGGCTCAAGCATAGATGCAAATTGGAGCGGCATGGTGGCTCAGCAGTTAGCACTGCTGCCTCACAGCGCCAGGCACCCAGATTCAATTCCACCTTCTGCTGACTGTCTGTGTGGAGTTTGCACATTCTCCCTGTATCTGAGATAGTAGGAACTGCAGATGCTGGAGAATCTGAGATAACAAGGTGTAGAGCTGGATGAAAACAGCAGGCCAAGCAGCATCAGAGGAGCAGGAAAGCTGACGTTTCGGGCCTAGACCCTTCTTCAGAAATTTCTGAAGAAGGGTC